TAAACGACGTCTCAAAAATAAAATAGTTTCTGTCAAAAACCCACACTCAAGCCGAAACGATGGTAGACAGTGAGGGCAACAGGATAGAAACAACTGAAGAAACAATAAGGCTTCTGATGAACGCTCACTTCCCACCGAACCCATCCATAAGTGATGATGCTACGGTAGCAAGGGAAACAAGAGCTGTGGAACCTAAGATTGATGAATCAATGGTACGAGATGCTATAAAGAGCTTCTCACCATATAAAGCGGCAGGGCCAGACAACGTCTTCCCTGCTCTTTTACAAAAAGAGGTCGACCATATATCACCATATTTAGCGGCACTCTTTAATGCATGTATAAGGTTTGCGTACACACCAAAAGCTTGGCAGGAAGCCAGGGTAGTCTTCATACCCAAGCCCGGCAAGGCAAACTACGCAACACCAAAAGCGTATAGGCCAATTAGCCTTACTTCATTTCTACTCAAAACCATGGAACGAACAATCGACACCATGATAAAGAGCAGCATCCCCAATGACACGCTGAAATACAAACATGCGTACGTAAAAGGGAGATCAGTGGAAACTGCTTTACATGAGGTAGTACACCACATCGAAGGAACTTTCGATAAGAAAATGTACACTTTAGCAGTCTGCATTGACATCGAAGGAGCCTTTAATAATGTCAGCACCGAAACACTTATCCAATCCTTAGAAGCCTTTAGTGTTGACCAGGCAATCATAGACTGGGTCAACCATATGCTAAGGAATAGATGGATAAACTGTAGCCTACAAGACATAACTATCAGGGACAAAGTAGGACAAGGGACACCGCAAGGAGGGATACTGTCACCACTCCTGTGGGTCACTACCATCAGTAGTCTCTTAAGGAACTTAACCGAAGATGGTTTTGAACCAGTCTGTTATGCAGACGACGTTATAATACTTCTAAGGGGAAGGAACCCTAACTTACTATGCAGGAAGGCTGAAACGGCGTTAAACATCGCCTTTAATTGGGCGAAGCCGAGGGATCTAAACGTAAATCCGGACAAAACGGAAATATGTCTCTTCACTAGAAAGACAAAAATAGGACAGTATGAAGAACCAATCTTTCAAAACAAAGTGATAGCAATATCAAATAAAGTCAAATATCTAGGTGTCATCCTAGATAGAAAACTTAGATGGAAAGACCACATACATCAACGGGTCGAAAAGGCACATAGATGTTGGTCTTTCTGTAGAAGAGCCGTGGGCTCTAAATGGGGATTCAACCCAAAGATGGTACACTGGATCTACAAGAGCGTTATTAGGCCAATTCTAACTTACGCGTCTGTAGTCTGGTGGACAGCAATTGACAAAAAATGCAATATAATAATATTACAGAAAGTCCAAAGAACTTGTTGTCTAGGCATATGCGGACAACACCAACTAGGGCACTGGAAACTATACTGTATATACACCCAGTTGACATCCAAATAAAATACGAAGCGGCCATCGCAGCTTTAAGACTTAAAGCCATGAACGAGTGGATCGAAAACGGACACTACACACCACACGAAAACATACTGCAGGCTACGATCGGAAACTCATTTAACCACTTTGAGTCAGATCGAATACCTGAAACAAGAGCAATCACGTTGTGTGAAATCCTGATACCGGACAGAGACTCATGGAGCAGCGGAACACTAGCTCACATGCCTCCGGGGAACTGTTGTTACACGGATGGCTCCCGGCTAGCGGGAAAGACGGGACTGGGACTCTTTATTGAAGAACCGGGGACTGAAATCTCACTTCACCTGCCAGATCACAACACGATCCTACAGGCGGAGGTTCAAGCTATAACGGAGTGTCTAAGGTGGCTAAGATCTAACTCTGGGCATAATAACATAAACATCATGACAGATAGTAAACATGCTATTAATGCAATAACATCCAAGACAGTTACATCAAAAACCGTACTGGAATGCATAAAAACAATAAACAACTTCTCACGACACGGTCTTGTACGTTTAATATGGGTACCGGGTCACTGAGGAGTCATAGGAAACGAGATAGCCAACCAACTCGCCAGACGTGCTACGGACCTAATCAACATAGATGTGAACAGTGCAAAACCTTTCAGCGCTTCACGTCTAGAAATGAGGTCATGGGCGAAAGAGGCGCACAAAACACTCTGGAATAACGAGAGGACTGTGGGGAAGACAACGAAACGTTGGAACATTTTCTATGCCACTGCCCAGCTTTTGCATTCATCCGAACCCAATTCTTGAAAACCGACACTATTCCTGAACTTAATGACCTAAGGGGGTGTGAATGGAAAATATTAAAGGACTTCTGTAAAAACACAGAATTCCTAGAAGAATAGGGAGACCAAACAAAAGACTTAAAAAAAAATAATTCCAATCTAAATACTTTTCCTTCCTAGAGCGCACAACAGGCCTACTATGGCTTAAGCGTATGTCCCATAATGGACATGTGGTGGTTTTTAAACCACCCCTCTTTTCAAACTAACTAACTACTCGCCTACGCCGATGGCATCGACATAAGGTGGCTGTTACCGCACCTTTGAACAAATTAAGAAGGAGTCTGCTAACGTGGGTATGTCAGTAAACGGCGAGAAGACCAAGTTGATGGTACAAACGCGCAAGACGTCCAGTAGACTCTAGGGATAAGTAAATCGATTAATCGACTTTTTGTATTGAATCGAAGTCGACTTTTGATCTTTGAGAAAATCGCAATGTCGACTTTTCAAGATCGACTTTCGATTTTCTTCAGAAATACTTGGTTTATTATCACAAAGCCGAAATTACCCAAAAATTACACATTCCAGAACTTTATTTCATCTATTGACAACCATTTTTATAAAAAAAATCTAAATTTTTAGTCAATTTTGTTTAAGATGGTAAAAGTCGGAAATCGATTTTGAACAGGTTTGACAACATCGAAAGATCGAAAAGTCGACTTTTTAGTCAATGGCAAAAATCGAAAACTCTAAAAATCGACTTTTGCGATCGACTACGTATCCCTAGTAGACTCGGATCAACTGTGAAACTTGAGAAATACAGCTTCGAGGTAGTCAATGATTTTATATACCTTAGTACCGCCATAAACAAAACGAATGACATCAGTTTTGAAATTCGGAGAAGGAAAGTGATGGCCAACCGATGCTACTATGGTCTGAGCAAACAACTTAAAAGCAAGGCCACCTCCCGCCAGACCAAACTCACACTCTACAAGACGCTGTCACTACCCGTGCTGTTATATGGATCTGAAGCATTGGTACTTACGCAAGAAGATGAGACAGCTCTTGGAGTGCTTGAGAGAACAATTCTCCGATAGATCTATGGGCCGACGGTGAATATCGCCGTTGAATGAACCATGAATTGTACCAGCTATTCTCGAACATCGACATTGTTAGACTATTGAGCTGCAGCTACTACGTTGCCTAGGTCATGTTGTGAGAATGGTTGAAGATGCCACAGCCCAGAAGGCATATAAAAGCAACCACGTAGAAGGGGAAGGCCACGAATACGATGGAGAGATCAAGTCGAAGACAACATTGCCGAAAATGATCTTTCCAATTGGAAAAACTGCGCAAAAGACCGACGCGCCTGGAAATCTTTTCTAAGCTCGGCTTATGAAACGAAAGTTCTGTCACAAGCCAGCTAAGTAAGATCCAAGCGTGGATTTATTATAAAATATTGTTTTCAATTCGGACTCTCTGTGGATTTATAAAAAAATATATATTTTTTTTTCAAGTTTGATCCAACAGTGGATTCATTAAAAATATTTTTTCAATTTGATCTCAGCTTTGACTTATTAAAAAATATTTTTTCTGTATTGATTTTTTCTATATTGATTGATTGTGTTTGGCGAAGCATTGATTTATAGAAAAATATTTTTCCAGATTTTTTTCATGTTTGATCAAAATGTGGATTTATAAAAAAAATATTTTTTCAGGATTGATCCCATAATGTATTTTTAAAATAAATATTTTTTTATAGTTTGATTTAAGCTTGGATTTATTAAAAAAAAAAATTCCTAATAGATCCATCCTGAGATTTATTAAAAATTTTCCTTCCGGATTGATCCAAGCTTGGATTTATTAAAAAATGTTTTTTTTTCAATTTTGATCCAAACGTGGATTTATTTAAAAATATTTTTTCCGAATTGATCCAAGCGTGGATTTATTAAAAAATATTTTTTTCCGAGTTGATCCAAGCGTGGATTTATTAAAAAATATTTTTTTCCGAATTGATCCAAGCGTGGATTTATTAAAAAATATTTTTTTCCGAATTGATCCAAGCGTGGATTTATTAAAAAATATTTTTTTCCGAATTGATCCAAGCGTGGATTTATTAAAAAATATTTTTTTCCGAATTGATCCAAGCGTGGATTTATTAAAAAATATTTTTTTTCCGAATTGATCCAAGCGTGGATTTATTAAAAAATATTTTTTTCCGAATTGATCCAAGCGTGGATTTATTAAAAAATATTTTTTTCCGAATTGATCCAAGCGTGGATTTATTAAAAAATATTTTTTTCCGAATTGATCCAAGCGTGGATTTATTAAAAAATATTTTTTTCCGAATTGATCCAAGCGTGGATTTATTAAAAAATATTTTTTTCCGAATTGATCCAAGCGTGGATTTATTAAAAAATATTTTTTTCCGAATTGATCCAAGCGTGGATTTATTAAAAAATATTTTTTTCCGAATTGATCCAAGCGTGGATTTATTAAAAAATATTTTTTCCGAATTGATCCATGACAGTGTTGGCGTTTTCAAACAAACATACGTCATCATTATTTCTTTCAATAAATAAATAAATATTTATTTGTGGTTTGCCAGCGTACAAGAGCTATTAGCGGGAGTATCTCAACAATAGCATTAGTAATTATAGTTTGAGCGTGAAAACAAAGCGAATCCGATATGAGTCAATATGAGATGAAATTTGTTTATTTTTCTCTTTCAGACGACTACGGACAGACTACAGAATAACTCAGTTGCACTACCACTGATAATGACGACGGTATTTCAAGGCAGACTATCGGAGAATCTAAAATTTGGACATATTTTGGAAATTGTGGGTGAGGCAGAAGAGAACGGTTATTGGTAAGTAAAATCGATTGATATTCAATAAAAAAAATTAAAATTTCTTTGCTCCCCAGGTTCTCCATATCTTTAGCATCAGATAAATTCAACGAATGCGATGATGCGGTTCACATCGGTTTGCGTATGTCCGTATATCTGCAGGAGGATTTGATTGTATTCAAACAACGTCTACATGGTGAATGGAAGACATTGGGCAGCGAAGAATTCCTCGGTCGTATATTTCTCAAACAATTTCAAATAAATATGGCCCTGGACGAAAAGAAAATTTATATTTCAATAAATGATCGAAAATTAACATTTCTTCGATTTGTACCGCTGCCCAAAGATCTAAATACCATATCAATAACGGGAGATGTGAAATCTTTAAAGAAAATTGATCATCGTTCGTATTTTCCCAGCTTATGGCCACCTATAAATCTGACAGAAAATCATTTGGAATTTAGTAATGATTTACCGAATAGCTATCAACCGGGTCAGGTTATGGTCGTAACCATGAGTATATTTGGCAAACCCAATGGTCGTTTCCATATGCACTTTTGTAATATCTACAATTGGAAACGTCAGGAGGTACACATCAGTGTACGTTTTGATAGTCGGAAAATTGTGCGAACTTCTAAGCTGCCGGTACAGGATTATATGGATACATCTGAAGAGAATTTCGAGAAATTAATGTGAGTATTCCAAATATAAAAAATAAAATAAACAGGTGAAAAAGTGTTAAGTTCGGCCGGGCCAAACTTTGTATACCCTCCACCATATATATACTGACAGGTACTTGAAATGAAAATATAGGGAAAATACCAAAAAGTGGACCTATACCGACATTTCTAGATTATGTAAATGATAATACAAATTTCAGATATGTTTAATGGATAATTATACCCTCAGCCTTATGGCTAATGAGGGTATATACACTTTGACACGGTGAAAATGTGCCCTAATCGAAATATAGGTTCTAGACGCCATGTTTCTTTGGACCAAATTTGTTTCAGAAAATTTTGATTTCATCCAAACTTTTCCCATCTTATTATTTCTTCCAAACATAGTTGAAGTTCGAAGATGCGGATTATCGGTCCACTCCTTGTAGTACCTCCCACACAGGGGCTAGGCCTAAATGCGGGTTATAGTTCATATGTAGTTCATTATCGAACATTACGTTCTAGTTTTTTATCTCGATATCCTCCGCAGGTGAAATGATTACATCATTGTATTAGAAGCAAACCCAAAACGCGGAACAAATTAGATAACTATTTTAATATAAACCAATAAGGAAAGTAGTAAATTCGGACTGGGCCGACTATATGATACCCTTCACCACTTTGGGTATATTGTACGTATGTATCCTTACAGTTGCATGTCAATGTTCCCTCGCAGGAACATACTCATGTCTTTCTGCAACCTATGCTAAATTTGATTTCATTCGGACATATTTAGAGTCGTCTGCGTACCATGAGACAAATTTATGGAAAACGATGTGTAGCAAAATTGATAAACGATATTCGGTAGGTCGCACTGTTTAAAATTTACATCTGCACCAATCCAACACAACGCAATAACGTCATTAAAGGACCCCCTCTGGCTACGTCGTTAGGAGCTATATCTAAAATTGATCCGATATTCACGAAACTTAACATACATCGTTCTAGACTTCATTCAGTACGCTATGCCAAATTTCATGCAAATCGAAGGACCTTTGTGCACTATTTACCTAAAATCGGACGAAAATATATATGGGCCCCCTCTGGCTTCATCGTTGGGAGCTATTTCTAAAACGGAACCGATTTTCACGAATCTTAACACTCGTCGTTCTAGACTTAATTCAGTACGTTATGCCAAATTTCGTGCAAATCGAACTTTGGTGCACTATTTACCTAAAATCGGATGAAAATATATATGGGAGCTATATCTAAATTTAAACCGATATTCACGAAATTTAACACACATTGTTCTACACTTACTTCAGTACGTTATGCCAAATTTCGTGCAAATCGAAGGATATATAGGCACTTTGGTGCACCATTTTCCTAAAATCGGTCGAAAATGTAAATGGGAGCTATATCTAAATCTGAACCGATTTTCACAAAATTTAGCACACCTCGTTCTAGTCTTAATTCAGTACGTTATGCTAAGTTTCGTGCAAATCGAAGGCTATATATAGGGACTTTGGTGCACTATTTACCTAAAATCGGACCAAAATATATATGGGAGCTATATCTAAATCTGAACCGATTTTCACAAAATTTAGCACACCTCGTTCTAGTCTTAATTCAGTACGTTATGCTAAGTTTCGTGCAAATCGAAGGATATATAGGCACTTTGGTGCACTATTTATCTAAAATCGGACGAAATTATATGGGAGCTATATCTAAATCTGAACCGATTTTCACAAAATTTAGCACACATAGTTCTAGTCTTAATTCAGTACGTTATGCCAAATTTCGTGCAAATCGAAGGATATATGGGGACTTTGGTGCACCATTTACATAAAATCGGACGAAAATATATATGGTAGCTATATCTAAATCTGAACCGATTTTTTCCCAATTTCAATAGGGTTCGTCCTTTGGCCAAATAAATGAGTTGTGCCAAATTTCAACCAATTCGAATCAAAAATGCGACCTGTACTTTGTTTACAATTTAACAAGGACAGACAGACGGACGGACGGACATGCATAAATCGACTTAAAAAGTGATTCCATGCATATTCTCAAAAGGAACCATGTGTCTATCTCCTTTCATTTTGCCTGTTACAAACATATGCACAAAGACATAATGCCCTGTACCACAGTGGGGAGATTTGTTACCATATGCGACTACAAAACACCAAATTGCACCCTAAAATAGCGAAAATTGGGTTACCCTTATATGGGTCTATCCGAAAAAATGGACCTAGATTTATAATTTTTTGTGGGGAGATTTGGTACCTATTAAGAACTCAAAATACTAAATTACAGCCAATTCAAAACCCCCAAAATACTGAAAATTGGGAGGTATCGTTATATAAGGGCTACCAGAAAAAGTGGACCTATATTCATAATTTTTTGTGGACATTTAGTACCCAATAGAAATACAATGTACCAAATTTCAGTGAATTCGGCTGTAAAACGCGCTCAAAACCCGCAAAATACCGAAAATTGGGGTGTACCGTTATATGGGAGCTATGCCTAAACGTGAACCTATAAATTTATTCAGGTGTAGATTTATTAAAAAAATATTGTTTCAAAATTTATCCAAGCGTAGATCTATTAAAATTTGATATTAACATTTATCCAGGCGTAGATTTATTATAAAATATTTTTTTTCCAAATTTATCCAGGCATTGATTTATTAATTTTTTTTTCAAAATTTATCAAGGTGTAGATTTTTTAAAAAATAAATATTTTATAAAAAAAAGTATAGATTTATTATCAAATAAAAAAATAGATTTATTAAAATATATTTCTTCGAAATTTATCCAGCCGTTTTTTCAACAACATTCGACATTGTTTATTTTATTGTTTTTACAATAACAAAAGAAAATTAAACAATATCGAATGTTGTTAAAAAATATTTGTTCAAACTACTTTTTTAAAATATTTTCTAATGAATATCCAAACGCGAATTTATATAAAAAATATTTTTCCAGATTTATTCCAAATATACGCTTAGATAATAACTTGTTTTAAAGAATTATCAAAGCGTGATTTTTTACATAAATATATTTGTTAATATATATCCTTTTTCTTTTCCAGTTTTGGCATCGAGGAAATCCACGGGGACTTTCCCTTTGATCGTTTCCCCGTTACCTGTAAATTTGCCTTTGGCTTCACCGCCGAAAAAATACTAGTAGCCAAAGATGGTCGTTTCCTATTCGATTTCAATTTTAGAACACTGAATGTTTTGTCGGAACTTTCAGGTTTAAAGATTTTATGTCTACAGGGAATGTCAGTTCACGTTAAGGCAATAGATCATCTTCAGATGGAAGATCCACAATGTAAAGGATTTGAATATTACTCACAATAAAAATAATACACGATTTTTACTAGAATTTGAAAAAAGTTTGAAATATTTCATTTTGAGATGAATCGTTATAAAATGCGGAAATAATTCATAGACACTACACACACAATGCTATGTGGCCACATTGATGATTGACACTTTATTTAGTATTGACACAAACCGGTTATAACAAGGTGTGTAGCTATTAACACAACCAACAGGGTGACATTGTGTAGAAACATATTGATGAAAGTATGTAGTGTACAGTACAAAGCAAATAAAATACGGTGGCGTTTGGGTTGTCCAAGTGACGGCGTTGAAAAATAGTACTGCTGATACAAGAGATATTTTAAAGGAATTTTTTTTCAAGGACCTGGCAAAGATAATTGTATCTTTGAATTTTAACGATTTTTAGCGATATTTTTAAAGGATAGTATGGATTTTAAGGGATCTTTTTTCAAAGACCTACAGAGCTATAGGCGATTTGTAAATAATATTTTGTCAAAGACCCACAGATTTATAGGCGTGGATTTTTTAGGAATATTTTGTCAAAGACCCACAGATCTATAGGCGTGGATTTTTAAAGACACACAAAGCTATTTGGTGTATTTTTCTACCGAATCGGCTATAATGTGGCTTTTCAAAGTTGTAGTGGGTAAAAAACTGAAAATGTTCGGATTATTCTGAAAAGGTCCAGCCCAATTTAAAATTTTTAATAGTAAAATTTAATTTTGGATTTCGTCTTCGTCTAAAATTTTCCTTATATGTCCACGTTTTCCACTACCCCATTTCCAATATTTTGAAAGTTTTTTTTATCGTTATTTCCAACAAAAGAGACTTTAACTTCGCATTCCGGGTATTTGGAAAGTACTCAAGGTTTTTGCATAATATTTTCAATATACAGATCCATGTTTTGACATAGCCCCCATATATAGGTCCCATCCTATTTTCGCTACTTAATACTACTTTTTATAACCAAAGTGGCTGTAATTTACCATTCAGAAGTTTTGGAGGATGAAAATTATCTTTGCAATAATAATACGAGGTGGATACATATAAAGCTTCCGCCGCATTTTTCAACCGAAATGGCTGTAATTTGCCATTCCAGATTTTTTAAGGATAAAAAACATAAAATTTTTGCAATGCGCGAAAAGGATGATAATCGCTTGGTAGCAAGTCCGGACTGTATGGCGGGTGCATTAAAACTTCCCAACCAAGTTCCCGAAGTTTCTGACGCGACACTGTGGATGTGTGTAGCCTAGCGTTGTTCTGGTGGTAAACGACACCTATCCTGTTGGCCAATTCTGGTCAATTGCTATCTTCAAACGGCCAGTTGTTGACAGTAGTGATCAGAATTTAGCGTTTGACCATATGGAAGGTAGTCATAATAAATAATTCCCTTCCAATCCCACCAAATGCATAGCAGAACCTTATAACCGTTTGAAGTGCTTCACCGCTCTTTGACCACGTTTTCGCACAGGGTTATCGTATGATATCCATTTCTCATCTCCAGTCCGCATCCGCTTAAGAATTGGGTTTATCTCCGGGTCTATATTCCGTTTGGCCAAGGCTTCGCAGATGGAAATTCGATACATCCTATTTTGTTCTGTTAATTGGTGTGGCACCAAAACTTCGAGCTTCTTTTTGAATCCAGCTTTGTGTAAATGGTTTAAAACAGTATTATGGGCGATTTTTAGCTCCTGTGCGATGTTACGACTGCTAAAATGCCAGCGAACTCCGATAATTTCTCCGATTGTATCGACATTTTCGACAACCTAATATTTATCGATTGGGTCCATATAAATCGAAAATGTTCATCTAGGTCCTTGTGTCTATATAAATGTCTCGCCGCATATTCGATATTTGGCCATATTTTCCGAGCGAAGGTACTGTAATTTTTCATTCCGGGTTCTTTATAGGTTGAATAAAATTTTTAAAAAATTGTAACGATATGGGTCCATATAAATTTCCCGCCACTTATTCGCTATACATTTTCATTATAGGAATATATTTAGACATAGCCACTATATAAAGGTGCTGCCCAAATGTAGATATTTTTATGATCAAAAAAACCTTTTCCCACCGAAGTTGCTGTAATTTGCTCCATCGGGTTCTTGGTGGAAGAAAAATATCTTTGCTAAGTGTTTTCGATATGAGTAAATATAAAGGCCAGCCGCTTTCCGTCAAAATGGCTCAAATTTTGGATTCCGAGATTTTGGGGGATGGTAAAAAACAAAAAAATTGCAATATAGGTCCATGTTTTGACATAGGCCCAATAATTTCGATATTTTAAAAGTTTTTGTCCCACTTCTCCACTGAAGTGTCTATAATTTCGCATTGCGTGGATTTTTTGAAGAATTTACAAAGCGTGGATCATTAAAAAATTTTGTTTTGCTTAATTCATAGATTTTTTTTAAAATATATTTTAATGAATTTACAAAGCGTGGATTTTTTATCAGTATTGACCACAGTTTCGTGGTAGCCTTCAAATAACGATACACTCCATTATTCGGGTTTGTGGGGATTGTTGGACGTGTTTTTCAAACGAATGTGAAGATTTTTTTCGGCGTGCTCTGTTGTAAAGTTTTTGGACCTCTTTTCCATTGTTCTGAATCTCCCCTGTCATACAGGGTTTTTCAAAGTCTGATCTCCTTTCTCGAAGAGGACAATTTTCTTCGAAAGACTTTACAATTACTTCTGTTAATTTATTGCCGTTCCTGTCTATATCATTCGTGTCTAGGCACTCATAATTTGGTTGCCCTAAACTCAACTTGACTAGTCTCCCAAACTTTGTCCTGTTAGTTTTGGACTTGTTTCGAAAGTATATGGGTTTCGGCGGTGGACGTAGGATTTTGAACATAATATATTTGTAGTCAGAAAAGGAGTAATCTTCTGAGACTTTCCATTCCTAGACCGCATCTATTAAGTTTGCTGAACGTATTGTTATATCTAAGACCTCCTCTCTAATTCTGTTAATAAATGTAGGTTTATTGCCTATGTTAAGGGTTATTAGATCGTTAGTATTCAAATAATCAAGATGGGCCGGGCCCCTTTTGTTAGTATTTGTACTACCCCACGTAATATGATGTGAGTTAGCATCACTACCAATTAGTACTTTGTTACCTGTGCTTCACCAGTCGCTGCAGCTCCGCCGTTGGTGGTGGTATCGGCGAGTCGAACGGGAGATATACTGAAACCTGGTAAATTTTACCACTCCCCTGCTTCAGTACAGTGGCGTCCGATGTTGACAACTCTGGGGAGAAGAGAAAGCATAAATTTTTGTGACATATTATACAGGTTCTCGGGCGAGAACCCGTTAAAGAGTTGGTAATTTATATGGCTTAATCCAGAGATCCTGTTTTTAATTGTCCAAGGTTCCTGGATCAGTCCGAAGTGTATTTTACCTTTTATTATTTCTTCCATCAGAACCAGGGTTGCCGTCTCGCTCCGATAGAGGTTAACCTGTAACCTCCAGTAACCGGTTTTCTTGGGGGTCCGTGATCTTCTCCTCGACTCCCTCCTCTTTGTTGCTGGGTATTTTCACCTCGCTGTAGTCCTTTGGCTTCATCGTTTCCAATCCTTGCCTTCCCGATTTTGAAGTACATGGCGTTGGACACATAGTGTGCCTTGTCTTGGTCTTAGCCAGCCTTGCCATTGAAGACCTTTCCAAGCCTAACACAAGGAGAGTCCTTTCCTCGTTCTCCTCCCTGTGGAAGACTTCCCATTTCTTCATATGCTGTGTCTTTTTCTGTAGGCTGAAGACCTCGAGCATGCGCACCGTGTCGAAATTGCTGCCCCAACCTCTGACAAAGACTGCTGCCTTTTGTAGTTGAGGAATGTCTTTGTTCGTCATCAGCTTGAGTTTCATTCTTCCATCTATGGGCCCAATGCTTGCCACTACCTTTCAGGGATTCTATTCTTTTCAAATTCCAGCATTAGATAGTCCTCTTTGAAAGTGCAGCTATCCAAGTCAATAGAGTCCTGTCCTTGTCGTAGGTACTCCATTATCATACTGTTGACAGCATTTAACACTTCCTAATGGGTCTCCTTCTTTAGCTTACCGGACGCGCTATTCCCGTCGATCTGTGCATAGCAGAGCTCGTCTCGATAGCGTTTCCTAAACAAGTTATTCGTAGAATATTTTCCCATATACGTCCATGCACCTACATAGCCCACATACAAAGGTCCTACGGTATTTTCGGAATATTCAAAGTCTTAACATAAACTTTCCAATCTGAGTATCTGACTGTTTGGCATTTCGTTTTTTCCTCCCAGCAATTTACCATGGCATAGGCCCCTTTAAAAAATCGATTTTAGGTCCACTACAGGTTCATAATGTCCACTTAATGGTGACTTCAACCCGATCGAACTTATAAGCATTTTTTACTTCTTTCAAGTATCCCATAGACCTGGTCTTTGGAGGATAATTTTTTACGGCAAATACACCATCCCACGTATTCAAATATTGTATGTAAACTTTTGCTCTTTAGTGTAGTATGAAAAAATACAATAAATTGATTTGTTTATGAAAATCTGCTTGAAGATCCCATCTTCTCTAACAGTTGTGAATGATTCATGTTTGTGGGACAAAGAATCGGATTTTAGGAAAAATCAACCCCAAATTATTTTTCGGCATCGGATTGGTGGTTAACAGAAAAAACGACGAAAATAAATTAACCCTTTCTTTGCCACAGAATTTGCATATTGAGTACTTTTTGTTGTAGTTTTTTCAGCTAAATTTGGGACATTCATTGGTTCCAACAACAAATAGATCACATACAACAATACCAACAACAACAAAAAATAATAACAACAACATCAACAACGTGATAAAGTTGAAAATGTTTTTGGAATGAGAAGAAATCAACTCCAGGTCCTCCATAGACAGACAGACAGCATGACAAACAAATCGTGTCAAAATAAAATAAAAGCAATAACAACAACTACAAAAAATCTACAACTCATAAAAACCGGAATCAAACCAAATAAATGAAA